GCAAGAGTGGCGTTACGCACACAGCCAGATACAAGACCTAAAACAGCAGCCGGAGCAGCAAGAGCGGCAGGAGCAGCAAAAAAAGAAAGAGGAAGAAGAAGGAAATAAATATTGTGTCTTCACTACAAGCAGGATTTGTTTGGCTCCCAGGACCACTCCATGTGTTTTGATTGCGAGGAGTAGTGCATTTCCGAACATAAAATGCTGCGCACTCAACCATCAAGGGCTCACCGCCCACCTGTGTGAATTTGCGCTCTACTTGACGATAGAATTCGGCAGTTCGGTAACGCCGCAGAACGCCTGACACGAAAAAGTGCATTTAGCGGAGATGCTGCTGCAGCGCCATTAGCGACAAAAACTAAGTCCAAAACGGCTTATTATAGCTACTATGCAAAAGGCACGAGCGCCGAATGAATATCATATAAACGCTGAATATTCTTTGTAGTAAAAATTTTTTAGGGGCAAATGTATTTTATGCATAAACAGGTTTTGCGTAGCCCCTCTGGGAGATTACTTTTCTTACATATCTACACAAATACAATCATTAACCGCTACTTTGTGGTTAATTTTCAAGCTCCCGTTATAAACGTCGTTGAAAGAATATGGGACTTTTATCAAATGTGGTGGCGGCAAGTGGTAGCGCGTGTAGTGAGTAAGCGCCTGCTCTATTCCACCAATAAAAAGGAAATGGCCTTTAATCAATGCATGGTACTAATTCGCGTGAACGGCTGTAGCATAGCTTGGCAGCGAGCACCAGACAACACTTTATATCAGGAGTTCTTAAGGTTTTACTTGATATTTTCGAATTGGCGGCATGCCACATCAGGCGATAAAAAATGCAAGGAAAGGTTTTCAACCATGCTCCAACAGGAATGAAGATTTGAAGTTAGCTACAAGTTCATTCCTTGACAGTTCGCAGATACGGTCTACTGAGTAGAACCACATTCCTCTTACGGCGTACACTCTTTCACTATTGCGCTGCTGAGCAGAGTCTCTGTTGCTCAGGGACGGTTGGTAGCCAGTACAGGACCTCAATTTCAATTGTGCTGACAATGTGGCGTGTGACTAGCAGGGCTCGACCGCAGAGCGCTTCACGCCTTGCAGATTCGTGTCGATAGGAAGCTGAATAGAAGAAGCATCAGAGTGCTTGTGGAACTGGACAAACAAGGGACTAACAAACTGGCGTTTTTCCTCTTCAATAAGAAGCTTCACATAGCGAAATCATAGCATGTATATATGCTATGCATTTGGATACGTGCAACCTGTAATGGAAGAAGCGCAAACGCCAGGTTTTTCATCCTTTTGTTTGTTCATTTCCACAAGCACACTCATGCACGCAAGTACATTTGTTAAATTATCAGCGATGGTTGCCCCATTAGCCAGCGTATATTAACTTCGAATTTTTAATCGAGGGAAAATCTATAAAAGACAATTGTTTATGCGTGAAACTAGCCTGAAAAATGAATGTCCTGTTTTTTCGAGCCATTCATAGTGTAAATTGCTAAACACAACCGCCATGCTATCGCGTGAGGTATGTGAATCAGACGTGTGTATATATATGTTGCTAGTCAGAGCGATTTCCCCTTTTCATTATTGCAGATCGTAGCATATCAAGTAGCGATTAGTAACATGGTGCGCAACATCACGAATCCGGGCTATTTCGTAGTTTCGAGACCATTTGGCATACGCAACCTCGTTAAGCAAAGGCAATTGAACAGTAAACTTTCGGAACACATATGCAGCAATCTATGTTTCGAATTCCGCTTAGGATTCCTTCATGCTCCGTATACTACTTTATCCATCTCGATCAACAGGACAAGCGTCACCCTCCTGGCTATTTCTGAAATGGGATCCTTTTCGACCGAAGACTGAATGAAGAACCAAAATATGTCCTGCAAAATTAGTCTTTCCTAATGGCAAAAAACAAGTCTTTTCTGGAAATGCGGTGGTCCACACAGTTGAAACATATGCTTCTCCTGCAATCAGCAACATTATCCAATTCCTATTAGAATTGACTAATTCTGTTGTGCTGCATAGCCATATACTATAAGGCGTCCGTGTGTATCCGATAGGCGGTCTGTAAACAACTGTCTCGCCATATATTAAAACAAGAATAGATGATTGCAGCCTTGTTAACATAGTTTCTTGCTGTCACCTTGCGGCGGCAAAAACGAAAACATTCCATTTTCGCAGCCACGTAGAAGGTGCAAAGAGTACACTCTCACGGTCCTGTAGTGCCTGGATGAAAATCATTAGTTTTATAGTCAAGGATGCCGACTTCATTTTGCTACAAAAAAAAGAAAATCCGATATTTGCCAGTAAGATAGTTTGTCCTCTCTACGGTAATGCTACGACGAATTCTATTCGAGCAGGCGTCTGCTGCACATCAGCGAAATGAGTCGGTTTCAAACAAAGGTAAAAACCCTGCTTGGTGCTAAACATTTGTATCTTGGGATTGCAGCAGGAACTCAGATTTAACTGCCCGATTTTGATATAGGGTACGCCAAAAGTAAATATCTGGATCTAATCTAACGCAGCCCAACAACAACATATCCTTGCAGCAAAACGTGGGATGCGCGCAGTTCAATCTCAGTAGAAAAATGTAGGTCGAGCATGCACTCCATTAGAGAGAGCATTTTCTTTCACTAGGTCGAGCATGCACTCGTGAAAGAAAATGCTCTCTTTAATATTCTAAGTTATCCAGATTTCTGTTTACCTGTGCCGGTTCAGTCAATTTTATTGAATATTTGGGAATCCCTCAATTGGCTTTTCTCATCCAAATCAACAATCGTGTTGAGGTATTGCTGGATTGCAACTGCCACCTGTGTTGTTCTATTTACTGGTATGCACAAGCTTTATCGATAAAATATCTCTGCAGTGAAACCTTAGCCAATTCTACGCTTTGGCGAGCATGCGGACAAGACTAGCAAGATTGCATGTTGAGTGTCTACAAGCGAATTATGCAACGACGCCTCTTAAACCAAATGACGGCAGACGCCGATGCGAGATCATCTTACAAAACAACATACGTGTTGCGGCCTTTGGCGTTTTAGCCTGATCATGCTTGTGATAAATGTTGAGCTCGGCTCGCGACCAGCGGAAACTCTACTCGGGTAAAACGTACACTGAGTTCAGAAGGCCAGCCATCTGTACCCCTGCACACTCTTTTTTTAGGCATCCTCCAATTGCGGGCAGTCTGGTAGCTCTACTCATAGACAGTTACAGGATGCTTTTCCATATTTGTCTACGGTGAAGTTGCGATGTATTAATTTCAACACCAAGGCCAGACGCTTCTAACAGCCTACTGCACAATTTGACTTGGAAGCGTTTCACAGGATAATAATGCAGCTGCTGAATACGCTCAGGGCAGGAATCTTAAACAGTGAACTTTACGCAGCCGCCTATCCTGATGCTTACGGCATAGGCGGCTGCCTGAAGCCACCACAGCATTTTGTATTTTAAATGGAAAAGTGAATTGGCATTCCTGCATTGGGCGTGTAGTCGATAGAGCATATTAACTTAATGGGAGTGCATAACCGCGCTCGTCAACTGTGCAACGCACCCCGCATAATCGCAATGAGTAGCCGTGAGCGTCCACCGTGCAGGGCCCTCCGGACTGTGGCCTTCTTTTAGCTATTATTGTCATCCCTTTCTATATGTGCCTTGCTCCCCATGTCGGTTCCCCGGGGTGTTAGTGTCCGCAATGTTTTGGTCGGTTCGCGCCGCATTTATCTCCTCGAAGTCAATGAATAGGTTGGGGGTGACAGGTCGTCCAGGGTCCCTTTAGTTGAAGAAACTATTACCGGCTTCACTTGCAGCCGAATGCAATAATCGAAGCAACATGCTAATACACCAAAGCAGCCCCGACATGGGAACCTTTCACATGGAGGGGCCCCTAGATTACCGACGATTGCAAGCCCAATAATGCAGAAATATTCCATCCTCTTAAGTTACGCCTATAATGCCCAGCTATCTATGTGCTAAATAACAGTTTCTCGGCCCAGCAGATGAACCCGGGTGTACACAGCAGACACACGGAACAGATACTGACGAAAATTGCCTTCACTCTGCTCACAACTGTGCACTTCTAATTACACGGAATATCAAAGGCTCTCCTGACTGTTACGTGCATTAGCCCATTCGAACGTACAAATTGCTCTAACGAGCAAGCTTTGCCTGGTTGGTAAATATGTCGCTAGTATTGACTGGCTACACCGAAAGTTCGTTGCCTGAGCAGGTCAGAACCGCTAGCAGGGATTATTTTTGTCTGCATCATATCCAGAGGTTAACCAGTAAGCTGCGCACTTACGGCGGTCGTAGCCAGTGCGTCTGTCGCGAACCCTACGCATTCGCGACTGTGCAGCTATCAGCTATCAGCGGTTCTGTGTCGAGCGCATCGTGTGGGTGTGCATCACTCCAGTTGCTCCCAGGTAGTGATACTCTAGGTGCGAGCAGCAACGCAGATACGCACTATCCGAAAGGAATTTTGAATTCCATCCAAGTTTCAACTACCACATTTCGGAGCAGCAGGATCGCAGTTGCTCACGTAGTGATAGCGTATCAGCTCTACCTGCGCAAGCCAATGTCTGACCATTATGTGCATTTAATGAACTAGGGTTCATACAGTTCTGGCATGGTGTAAATATCCCCATTAATAACTGCCCTGCCTGTGGTACGTTGCTCCATTACTCCATTGACGGCTCCATTGTGCCACCGATAGAGGGACTTCGTACTGATGGGAACTGATAGGCAATATTAGGTGGATGATATTGTACAGACTACCATGCCCACACCGCTAAAGGTCCATACTGTTGAAATGTATACCCCTAAAACACGTAAAAAGGACGCGCTGTCGCTCCATTTCGGTGTCAGCAAGGTTGCGCGGGCGAACGCAATCGCAAGCCAACAAATTAATATTGACGCTCTAAACAATTATGGTTTTGCATAACTTGCCTATAACAGTACAGTACAGCCTGCAACGTGAATACAGCAGCCGGTTCTTAGACACATGCACCCGAGGCACCGCCGTTCATCGAATCATCCTGCTGCAGCTGCTCAGCAGACTCAAATTCCGACATGTACTTGACCGCCTTAGCCCAAAGATACTGTTTGACTTGTCGGAATGCTCCTTCATCCCTGTGATCTATCTGTTTCCTTTGCCGCATCACCCGTTTCTGCGTCACCAAACCAAAGACAGATGCCGACAAGTTGGTATCAGCCTAGCGCAGGGAAGGTCACACAATTGCAGCAGCTCCTTCCTACCGTGTGAAGGCTGCATAACAGTAAGGATACACTGGAGGCCACACTGTTCTGTCGGAGCAACTGAAGCTGCAGCTACTGCTCCTGAGAACAACCTTCATCTTGTAAGCTTTCTTAATCAAACGAATGCTGACGTAAGGAAGAAGATGCAAAATGCCGGCCAGAAACCACGGGCGCAAACAAACTCACGTACACCTGTTTCATTAGTTGAATGCTCGAAGCTTCCCCTTCCGTTTTTCGCCTGCTCAGCACATGCAAGCGCAGCATCAAAATCACGATCGTTGAAAATTTTGACCTTGAACGTTCACAACGTCTGCCCCTTGAAAAAGTTCAGGAGACTCATCTGAGCACAGTGAAACCGGGTTGCTGCGCTTCTCATCTATATTTACCAATATTACCTTCCGCTGGACTGGCGCTGAATCTTCACTGAATTGATGCAAACGGAAAAGTGCCTGTCGGGCTAGAACCCTTGGCACGTATTTGCCCAACACGTGACACAGGCCTTGGCGTTGCCGTAATTTTCCTATTCCAACTGCTGCGTCTACAGATGCTCGGCGAAGAAGTACTGTCCTGCGGCAGACTCCACGAGGCAATGGGGCTTATGTATGCAACTCGCCAACCTTTTGGTCTGTGGGCTGTCGTATTTGGCGCCAGGCGTTCGGCCCTTACAGCCAGCTGCCAGTCGTTCCATAAACTGTCCTCCCGCCTGAGATTCTTACCTCCAAAATAAAAAACAGCTGGCTTTCAGCGCCGCCCATTTCTTCGACAGATGCTGTTGCGCAAGGGAAACAGCTTGAGAGCCTGTCAAGTTCAGCCGCCTCCATGCCTGTCCCTCTGATCTCTGAGCACACGATGCAACCTCTATGCCTGTTGATGTCGCACATTCCTGGTTGCTAAGAATGGCATATTCTGTCCCATTGCCTGTTTTCCGTTCATCTCCTTCCTTAAATCCGGCTGGCGTCAGGCTGTATCGGGGGCGTGGGCTGAGCGTAAGACAGCAGAAGCGTGTAGGGCAGCTTGACTTGCAGTCAACCTAACTGAGAAAAAAATTGTAATTTAGTGTTACTCCAGAGGAACGCCCAGGTGCAATGTGGCTTGTACTACTGTTGGATTCAGAATGGAAGTTGCTCCTGGAACACGGAACTGCGTCGACTGTTGACTTGTGTTTTGGCCGAGTTACTGAGAAAGTACTCTGAGAATGGGCCTTGGTGAATGCATCCATAACTATGTTTGCGATCGTAGAAACTTGTTGATATGTCACTGCTCACATGTTTGTCAATGCAGTCAGACGTACTCGTCCCTTCCGTGGACAATGGTGGGATAGCGAAGCATTTCCATCCCAGGAGCAAACATTTGTGCAAGGCAATGCAGGCCGTACCCAGGTGGCTGGTGGACCCACTTGTTGGAAATCTAGTACCTTCTTTTGGAGCTCGGTAGGTGTGGCCCAGGCTGTACCATTTTGCTGGAATGATGTTTGCTCGAGAGCACTCGACAGCTGATCATATTTGTCTTGCGCCAGTGTGTCTCGACGAGTCACCAATCTGCAGCTTCTTTTTGTGATGGAACTGGTTGAAAAGAACTTCTTTGGATCCGCACTCTCTACACGAAGCCCAACATTTTTTTTCGAGCTGTCGAAGGAAAAGGGGAATGAAAAACCTGCCGGGGTTGCTCGCTCCGTCACGCTAGTGCAGTCAGCCAATTTTAAATCGGATATCTTCAACGGAAGCTCGCGACCCTCGTCAGCAAATTCTGGTGGGCATCTGTATGCAGTGAAAGTGCATTGGCGGCGCTGTGCGCCGGGGGTGTGCAACTGAGCTGGATCATCCAACATACGAGGCAAATCTACCCGTGCTTCCTGCTTGTCGCCAATAATTCCATTTTCACATGCTGACGCCGATGGGGGTGGTGGCTGTCTAGAATCTCTGCAGTTGTCTGCAGGTTCCCCAGTGGACAGCGGTACAGGCTTCTTCATTTTTAGGCATCTAAGTCTGCTGCACAATACCTTTAGACGGAGTTTGGGCGTCGACGGTGCATGGGACAAGCGCCTCCCCAGGACTCCAAGGTTAATTTTAACTGCAGGTATATGCTTCTCCCTACCCCTTGGCTTCGTAGCCAATGGAGGAACTCCAAGTTGCCGTATCCTCTGAATTCGGTGACTAGATATCCGCTGTAGGGCAGGAGACGGGATGATATGCTGAGGAGTGTTTTCGCCAGAGTTAAACAGCCAGTTGTCAGGTGTAGCTTTAGTTAGGTTACCCATTGATTTCCCTAGGACGCTTAGGTGCGTGCCCGAATCTCTTTTGGAGGCAGCAGGCTGTACGCTGCGCGCACGGTGTTTTCTATGGTTTTTGAGGATTCGCGCACCTGCCCAGTTGCGGAATTCATTCGGATGCTGTGGCCTGTGACGATTATGTGTGTCAGCCACATACAGGGTTTCCAATTCCTGTGCAGGGGCTAAGCGCAGCTTGAAATAATTCATCCTATCCAGCAGTTCCCAAAGGAGTTGACACACGGTATCGGCAGTTGGCCCCGGCTGACAATGCAGCTTTTGGTGCTGTAAGTGCTCGGCGGTTTTTCGTGGAGAAACAGTAGCAGTCCACCCTTGCTCAGCCGCCTGAGCATCGCTGGTGTGCTGCACTAACAGAGTACTCATTCCTAGAGCATGCTCACATGCCATTTCTTCTCGTGTGCATTCACTCGTTCCATTTCCCTGTGATTGTTTTGCCTTCGCAATTGGCGCGTCAGTAGTCGTCACCGTTATTGCTGGGGATAATTCATCGCCCTGCAGCTCCTGGCGCTCCGCTTGGCTATCACAGTTCCGTCGTGCCAGGTGGTCTTCAGTTGGATATCCTCCTTCTTCAACATTGGACGTTTTGAGTAGTGTCCTGTTGGAATTAGATGGTTTACGTATGGACGCCAACGAATGTCTCTGGGCGTTAAGCTGCTGTCTCAGCTGCTCTAACTCGTCTAGTAGACTTTGGTTAACTTTAACAAGCGAAGTGGTTTCTGCCAGCAGTAGGTCTTCTTGCCCCCTGAAGGTGCTTTTCAGCGACTCCACTGAGTCGACCGAGGCAACTTTTTTTTCGGAAACTATGGCAGGATGCGTTGACCGCTTAACGCCACCTTCGATCAGTTGCTCTTCCTGGCTGGTTCTTGCTGCATTTTGGATTAGTGACGCTGCTGGTAGTGCAACTAGGGGGTGCGACTGCCCTTCTGAGTTAGCTAATTCCAGTAATTCATATTGAGGCAAACGTGGTTGGCTTGCTGCGGACGCTAGGGGATGATGTTCCTGCACAAGCTTGGATACGTCAGCAACCCTGTTCGGTGGAAGAACTGGACTTGACAATGGTATGCCATTGGCCCCTTGCAATTCGTGTGGAGAAGTTGTTATTGCAAGTATGGCAGTTGGGTGTGTCGATGGCTTATCGCCTCCTGGAGTCATTTGTCTGTGGGAGCGGTTGTATCTTTCGATCTCGTTGCTTCCGAGCTCACGTTGCAAGAACGGCGTGCAATGCGGTGTCGCTGGGCAGGATATTGCTGTATTGCATTTGTAAGCTTGCGTTTCTGAGATGTCCGCTCGTACATTCTCATGCTTCCGGAGATCTGTTTCATGAAGATAGAAAGTTTGATATGGGCCCCGTTTTCGGTTGTCTTCCTCCTTTGGGCTTTTGCTCGCCCACCCTCTATGCTGAGAGCAATCTTTTTGAACCGATTTACAAGTTGTACAGCAGCAATATAGTTCCTGTGTGTGTAGTTTAGTTGGTTGTTCCAATTTCGTATATCCAGGGGAAACCGGCGCCATATTATTAGCCGGTTGCTCTGCTGTATCCCTTAGCTTCTTAATTGGACTGCCAAAAATTTGCAGTCGCGTTTCGATGACTGCTCGAGGTGACTGCTGAAGATTCACCTTTTCCGAGAGAACTGGTAGGGCATCCGCTGTGGTAGCGTCTGCTGCAATTAGGGCTTCATTTCCTGCCACTGGCGCGGGACTGACGCTCCTGCAGTTACTGGGATTAGGATCCTTCGGAAAGCTATCAAGCACCTCCACAACAGAAGTAACAATAATCTCCGGTTCCGTTTTCCGCCCATTTGAACCTGGTGGCAGCTGGTTGTTCCCTTGACGTTCAGAGTGACACGACGATGAGGTGGGAACACAATTACTATGCACTCCCATTTCACAAAGCGTGCCAGTTGAAGCGGTGGGATTTTTGTCCGGGCAATGCAAGGCAGGTACGAGGGCTTCCCAGCTGCAGCCCTTGCAGGTAGTTAAATGTTTGTTTATACACCTGATTTCATGGTACGTAGCCGTAGTAGACTGTTCTAGCTCCCTATCCATGACCGTCTGGTATTTGCCCGCTAGGGTAAATGGAGAGGAGCAGTGTTCATTTTGTTGGTAGTCCGCTTCAACTTTTTCAATCGAACATTTCCAGGTTTCTGCTGTCCTTAAACTTTGCGAAGTCGCTTCCTCTGCAGCCTTTTTCCCTCCTGGAGCTACGCCACTCTGTGCTAAAGTCAATCCAGGACATCTTAGGCCGTACCACTTCCGGAGAAAGGCAAGTGCACTGTTGCGTGACTCTCGTCCAACCGCCCTGGATAGTGCCTAAAAAACGCAGAAATCTTTAGCCGCTGGAAAACTAAGAAGAGCATTCGCCTTCGCGCATTGCTTACTAACACACTGTGGATGAGGGAACGGTGTGAAATATTTTCACTCGCTGCAGCTATAAGTATCATTTGGAAAGGTGACTAAAAATCTTACTTTGCATATGACGCGGGCGAGATGCCTTAGAGCGGCAGGATGCAGATCGGCATCGGTAGGTTTGGTGCTAGCTGTAGTAAGTTGCATTCCCCCGGAAACTCCGGTGCAGGCCTTCGGAGCTGGATGCGGTGTGCAAGCTGGGGTTTTCTTCTGTGTCTGGTCCTTGACAATTTGTTTGTCTCCACCGTGAGGCGGTTCCACATTAAGTGTTGGTGACTCTGTGATTGTCGTTGATGGCGTTGGGGTTGGAGCTCCTGTCCTTCTTGACGATTTATTCTCATCCACTCCAGTTTCCTTTCCCCTTGCAACTGATAAAATAGGAGACATGGGGGCAGAATTAGAATAGCCCTTCGAATGTTTGAAGGTCTTCAAAATATCACTTTGAGGGGTGGAATCACCCAAAAAAAGCTTTAATTCCCCAGGAGCCCACGACGTCCCATCTCCATTATTCGCTTGCACTAATGGTTTAACATGGGTTGTCACTGCAGCGACCGGCAGAGATCGCTTCAGCGATGACTTGTAGCTGACTACAGGTGCTTCCTCAGGACCAGAAACGCGTACGGCGGCGACAGACGTCCCCTCAGGCAGGCGGAAACTGTTGCAGCTAGGCTGTGTTGTGGCACTGATGCCTGCAAAAGTACCGGAGGGAAGCCCAGAAGCTCCTACATGACTGCTTCCAGTTCCAGGTCTCGCTTGTGTGTCGTGTGGTCTGGGCCATTGTGGCTGCATTTTCATTCCTAATGCAATGAGCTTTGTAGTGGGCATCGGCTCATCTGGCATCCCTTCCGCTTTCCCTTGCTTTCGAGTATGGTGGGCTCTACTATTGGGCATAACATTAGTGCGCTTATTTCTACTCATTGTGTTCAAGGTGGAGCCGTTTTTTTTGTCGGACCGTTTAGCTATTCTCGCCTTTTCTAGAAGATGCGAATGCGCGGATGGCTTGCTATGACCGACGGAAGCCGTTGCAGTTGGAGCCCTTGTCAAGTTTTTGCTTGACACAGGCGGCGAGCATCTCAATGCCACGCAAGCTTCTCGCGATGCTGCTACTTTCTGTCTGATGCGTGCAGCCACTTCGTCTGTCTTTGATTTGGCCCGAAGAAAGGCGTCAATATCTTCTGGCTCAAGTTTTACGCCTGCCCCCAAATCAGCTTTCGTGTCCGCGTCTGGCGACCCCAACCGCAAGGCTCTACTATGACTTAGTGAGGCAGCAGCAAACGCTGCTGCAGCTGTCGCTGCAGCCCACCCTTCGGTTGTTGGATTCGAAGGGCATTCGATGAAGTTCCCATCGTTTGTTGGATCGTCAAGATCACATGCCGGGGACGCGACTGGCACAACACAAAAACAACAGATACCGCTATATCATTAGGGTGGCTGAACAAAATACTTTTGCTTCACCTCTCGTTTAGACTTTTTAATGGATCAATGGCAACATACGTTCCCGAAAGAGAGGCGTATGGTCGCAGAGTCGCTGCAATGAATCGTCAATCGATCTGTCGATCGAATCGGAAACGTTCGACAAGCAAAACCCCTCTTTCTCTGGGCTGCTGCTAGGTATTCCTCCGTCATATTCGCCTAAAGCGGGGCTCTTCCTCAGATCAGTGGAGGGGCACTGTGGCCCATCATCACTCGGTATCGTAGGCGCTAACCATCTTGATAAAACGCCTCCTCCCGAACCATGCAAAAGAGGGGAGCATGAAAAGCTACTGCCGCTGTCGCTACTGAGGGACTCCCAAAAATTGGATGCGGCTACAGCAGGCGACCCTAACAAGTCAGAACTTCGTGCTTGGCATTGGTGGAAGTTGCCCCCCACTCTACTACTTTGTCCTTCTGAATAGTAGCGCTTAGAGAAATGAAGAGGACTACCTTCCCTGAACCGGAGGAAGGCGTCGGAACGATGAGGGTCTTCTGTGGGTATAAATGACGGTGGAGAAAAATGCCGACGCAGGACAGTAGAAGACGTACCAGCGAATTCCTGGGATTCCAGGTAGTCTCTTGCAGCGCGAAATTGAGGGAAGACTTCACTGCCGTTGGCAGGCTGCCAAAGATTCCGACTGGTTGCGGTAAGGTGCATTTCCGACCCCTTAATACGGAACTATTCAGTACCCTGTTTCGTGCTACCCCATAAGGTTGAAGCCGAACGAGAAATAAGCGAACTTAAGCATATCGATCAAACACAAAACACTTCCTGTGGAGGAGTCCATATGCGGGCTCGGATGGGGAACGCGTTTATAACTCTGAAAGCGATAGGCACGCGCATGAGACGGAGTAAGCGGACGCCTCTTTCCCCTTCCGACTGCACGACGTGCTAGCAAACGAACATCTACACATACCTGATCTGACTAACCACTGATTTTGAGGGGGGAAAGTACATGAAACGCGGACGAGAGCTGCGCTGTCAGGGTCAGGGTTGAAGTAGCCTTTGGCGTGAGCAACGTCAGGAGGCGTGTTGCATATTGCGTGTTTATTACACTTGTCATAGATACGCGGTTGATAGCCATGCCGTTTCTGCACTCAACAGGTATGAGTAATGCTTATCACTGTGGCATACTATTTTCTGCGCGTTAGGAAGGAGATCGTTTGCAGCCCCTAAGAGACTTGAGAAGCCTCCCCCACAACGCCGGATGATCGCTCCTGGCATTCACGGGCATGCGTGCGAGAAAATAGAATCAACATCCTTGTGGGAAGTGGCATATTTTGGACTAAATTGTCATATATTTTCAGTATTTTGCAGCACAATGTTCTGGGGAAGAATGAGGTCCACAGGGGGGCGCCGGAAGATAGTGTGCATTTGCGTTCGCTCCCAACTTTCGAAAGTTGTGCCATCCTCTTGTACCTTTATATGCATATAGTAGCCATCCCGCCAGTGGGTTATTCCTTTGAGTATGATGATGGCTGCACTGAGTAAAACATCAATGAGTTTAATTAGGTGCACGCTGGAAGCGGAGAATAACGCGGAAACTGTCAATGAGGCGAAAGAGAGCAGCAATCACTGATTAATGCACAAGATGAGGGTGATATATGTATACAAAAGTTATTATATATATATAATACGAATAAACTAATCTCTTCACCTGAATGTGGCAGGAAAAGTTTCGGGAGAGGCTGCCAGCAAAGGCCAGTTGAATTATGAAGCGCCGGGCAGGGGTGTTCTTCAAAGAGGAGAGCATCGATTGACGACTCGAAAACAACAAGAAAATCAGACTTTCCCCCAATTCAACCCCGTGGGCAACACCATGAGATGCTGCAAACTGGTTTGGTACTTTTCCAGCTCATAATAGCATTGTCATTTCGATTATACTCTTTCGTGACTATTGGTGTTCTTTAAAACTTCGAAACAGATGAACGAGCCCTCACTTACTAGATTTCATGCCAGGACTTAATATCAGTCCTCCTTGTGCCTATATATTCGAACTGCTGGAGTTTGGGGGTTACCCCAACCAGGCGTCTCCCAGCTGTACATTTGTAAATCTTTCCTACACAAATTTCCGTGTTTTCCAGCTATTTTGTATCTAATTGTCGTGGGCACTTGACGTATTCGGACGTATGCATGTCTATATGGGGAAATCTGTTGTCGTAGTGACCACCACTGTGGAAAGAATATGCTTGTGCCCTCCATGCAGTCGGAAATATATGGTTGACTATAACAGAAAATCAGATGACAGATTGGTGTAACAGGGGAAGTAGTTGTGGCTGGATGCATACTGCCTTTCAGCGAACATCCTTTATCCTCACCCGTGACAGTTTATGCCAACAAAGATGGCTGATGGCTTCATACGCGTGCCTTGACAATTCCGCTCGAGCTTCCTTCTATGCTGCAAGCAGCCGCTTGCAAGCATAGGATCATCGCGAGGGTGGCTTTGCAGTCTCTCCAAGGTATGTAGAGTACGTGCAAGGCAAAAGTACAATAACTATACATTGTTTTTGGGACAATTAGCCTATTATTAACACATTTACAACTGAACAACAAAGAAGGGTTGAGTTATATGCGTAGTTAGTTGGTAGAGCACAAACCGGAAAAGGTTGTCAGTATGACTTGTATATCTAAATACAGCAGTACCTCATCCTTTGTCGCAAGACTAACAGTGGAGGTGCCCCAAATGAGTGCAGAGCCGTTTCGCCCCTCACTAACGGCCAGAAAACCCTGTGATCCCAAACGCGACAAGCGTTGAGAGTGGGGAGCGGGGAAGGGTAGCGGGCGCTCTTGTGAACACTCACAAATATATCTACTGCACCACAACGCACCAACAAAGACATTCTGACTCCTCGGCTGAGTCTAACGATTCCTGTGCACAGTTCCTTAACGCCCGAAGTTAGAAAACGCTTGGGTGCAGAGTGCTTACTGTAGGCCTGTCAATACATGTACCGTAGCCGTTTGCCATATTTAAAAATGTGCACTGTGCACTTTAGCAGGAACGATCGTGGCTGACGCGCTTGACCAGGTCACAAAGTGTCCACCGCCTGAAGTTACCAGAGGCAGAAGCCGGTATTCTAGTACAACGCACAACTGGAGAGTGCGCCTCCAGTAATAGGCAAACAGCACATGCTCCCCCAGTACAGAGTTGCCCAGGATATGGCCAGGCTACTCCGGTGAATTTATCCAAATCTGCTTTCACCACTGATGAGGAGAGTCCATCTCCAGATTTAGCCTTCATTTCAACAATCTGCCAGTCTTTCCTCTCGCTATTTTGTCAGGTGTTCGTTTAATTTCTTCACATGGTCGTCAACCGGAACGCATCAAGAGGAAGCAACCACTTTCCTAGGACGCTGTTCAACATCCCCTCAGCGGACTGTATTTCTGCATGTAGGATAGACTGCGCGGAATATTATATCCGGGAGTGCACGTCTGTCTTACTGCTACGTTTTGCATGTAACATGTCTGCACACAGCAACGTAAACTGCACCCGCATGTTGTTCTTGCCCCCGCTTTGACTGCCAACCAGAGATCCGTTTGCGTCGTTCACCCCATGGTTGATGCCGCAGTGTGAAATGATTGTATTGAATTTTGCTGATTACTTCAGCATTTGGAAGACAAAGTACTGCTAGAGTATGCCTGTAGTGCGCTCAACTATAGTACGTACTTAGTTGGACAAAGATACCCAATCCTCTCCTGAACTGTCGGGAAGGAGTACATGCATTTTTGTACCTCCACTCTGCTCCTAAATACTGTGTAGGGGTCTGTATGTATATTCTCGCTCGAAATGGAAACAGTCCTTATTCTGCAGACCTCTTATTCTGAAAAAACACAGGCTGGCAGAGTGGCTCCGCGGTTTATGTTGTCCTTTGCGCACGCATGGACATCAAGGGCCCCGAATGTTGCTTGTATTTTCTAGGGCATATCCCTTGTGGATTGCTTTGGTAGATACGTAGAATTTGGAAGGATGGACTGATGCCCAGATACAACCTGGTCCACTGAAGGGCATGCTAGTCAAAATTAATATTGACTGCTACGAAGAACAAGTGAAATCTTTGTACCACAAGTAAAGGCAGACGCGTGATTTAGGTGTACGGGCCGCTCCTAGGTTTAGGATCCCTGACTTTGTCATGAGTTCCGTAAAAGTAAAAGCACATGGAAGAAGATACCCTCCGACAGGTAACTGATCTTGGGCACCTATTAGGGTCCCCCATGGTAGCTGGATAGGTAGGCGGGGCTGGGTGGAGGACGTAGAGATAAGGGTGGCGCTGTTATACTAACTGATGCAAAGCAGTTGCAGATAAACTGCATTGAATTCATAACGTGTGCTACACAGCTATAGTGTAATATGTTAAGGGAAGTGTACGGATTCCTCTTTGAGTACATGGTTAGTATGTGAAGCCGATAATTCGCTGGATGGAGCCGACCGATGCTCCGCCGGATTCTTAGGTTGTTCTTGCAATCTCTACCAGATACGCTAAAACTACGAGCATAAGAAGATGGCACAACAGTTTTCTGACAAAATCGAGCTTAGCGGCAGGTGCGTTTTTTACGCTAGGCAACGCCTGTTCGCCACTGCACGTTGGGTGACTTGTGAACGCAGTCGCCTGCGGGGTACCCTTGCCACTAGTGCAGTTTAAAGTCACATTTTACACCGTTTATTCAAATAAAGCTTGAATGGAAAGGCAAAACTGCGGCAACTCTTGCGTGACTTGTTGAACAGAGAGAGTGGCCGCTCTCCCTTAGGGCACGATGCAGCTGCAGAATGCCGAAGCGGTGTTACTGCGGTACTGTACGTTACTTGCAGGTGACGTGATAGCAAGGCATACAAGCAGATAATTCATACGACTAAAGAGGTCCGTTGGGGGCATAAGTGAATTGTACAAACGTAGGCCAACCTTCCTGCAGGCGCGCAATGCCTCTAGGTGAGTTGGGGCTGCGAGGCATGTGTTTCGGCCAATTGAGAAAAGAGCGCAAATAAAGTATTGAAGTACACTATTTTTTCATTTTCCATTTATATATATACTAATTACTGCCTGGAGGGTTTTAGGGCCTGCTGGACAAACTGTTATTGCATCGATGGCATTTCATGACCTTCCCCTTGAGGTTGACCCTCCTTCAAGTGCTTTTGTGCAACGTACCTGCTGCGATAGCCTGTGACCAACGTAGCTGAAGCTAAGAGAGAATACCGTTGGGTTCCATTTCGGGAAGCCACGAAAACAAAAGGAGACAACCAGGGCGAGTAAGTAAGAGGGAACAAAGACTGTCTCTGCCGCCAGTGCCCATGGCATAACGCAGGTTGACTTGGTTGCTCGCCGGTAGCAGGCATGGCAAGAGGAAAAAAGCCTAAAGAAGGGGGTGACTCGGCTGCAGGACCAGAAGCAGCCGGGGTCCCACTTCGCGGCGAGCTTCTTCATAAGGCTCTTGGGGATGTCGCACGCACGGCTGACGGGAGTGGTTACGCCTTCACTCGACTGACATGCTGTGGGAAGGGCGTGACTAATTTGCCAACTGCTCTACAAGTCTACGTTCACCTCCGATACATAGATATATCGAATAACAAAATCAGGGATCTCGCTGCATTCTCTAGGCTGCCATACCTTCTGACTCTAAACGCATCAGGCAACAATATAGAAGACGTTACGTGTCTGGCGTCTCCAGAGGCACTCCCATACCTGTTTCTGCTGAACCTGAGTAGTAACAAGATCTCGAGGGCTCCCCAATTGGCACTTCAGAGACTGACACGTCTGGCGCTTGATGCGAATCCGATAAACACGTTAGAAGGGTTTGTACAGCCACCTCTTCTCACACATTTGAGCCTCCGAGGAACTCCCCTAGAAACCCTAGATTCGCTCCCTCCCTCAGACACCATAACATCCCTTTACTTATCACATACTCCAATGCAGCAGCTGCGTCAGTTACAGAGACTACCGCAAATCAAAACTTTAGACCTTGAGGGTGTTCCGCTCCCTCCTGACCAGCTCCACATTCTCATTCTTCTCCCCAAGCTGAGGGAATTATCCCTCTCTTCTCCAGACCAAGATTTGGACGACGAGCACTTCAGGGCTGAGGTTCTCAGGGTCCTTCCTCGTCTCCACTGGATTAACGGCCGGGCTGTAACATCAGCTGAGCTGAAAGCAGCAAGAGCTCTGCGCGAAGCAAGCTTACAGCAGGAAAAAGAATTAGGCCAACAGCCCCAAGAGCACCAGCGAGACGAGGTGGAGACCGTGGAGTCCTAAGAGAGCTGCCATTATCAACAAACTAAGCCATCACTGAAATGTACACAAGCGGAAAAGGCCGGAGACCATGGAATTAAGACAGCTGAGAGCTTCAACTCTTTGGAGGAGCCGCATATTCTTATACGGCTGGACTCATCCTGATGGCAAATCCTCAGTGAATGCTGCTAGACGAAACTAATTCAACTGATATACCGCCACACCAACAGCGAAGCACAAGCGTCTGAATTCGGTGGTGTTGAATGCAATGCAAACTTATGATGCCATAAAGAGGCATACTCATGCATGGCACCGCCTACAACCCAGATGCAGTCGTAATTTTTTAGTACGAGTGTGCAGATGATATCCGCAAGATTGCGGAATATTCATGTATGTTTTGGAGTTCGACAGTCCAACACCTGATTTTGTGCATACATCAGTCTCTTTTCCACGGCCTTCTGTGGGTACAAAGCATTACTGAGGAGCATGTTACCTTCAGGTGCAGCGCTTAAATGTTATGACGGTGCTGAGGCATATTGAATGTTGTGCATCACAGTTTATGTTCAAATTGCCGCTTCTTTTGCACTCACTGAGCCGCTCAACACTGCGACGCCTCAGGGAAGTGTCGCTGTAAGTCAGCAGCGTGCAACAGGCAATTCGAGAAGATGGAACAGTACGGAGCCTCTTAGTTTTGGCTTCATATGCATCTTTATCACTTGGCGGAGAGCTTTTCTGTTGAGGGGAGTTTTCAACACACCGGTTCACTAGTGCCCGAATATGGCGTTAATACGTTGGTACTCTTTACGATGATAAGGTTGAAACATGTTTAGAACAAAGTTGAAGAGGAGCAGGAAATGGGTTCTTTGCAGCTACTCAGAGAGCGGAGCTGCTCTGTTTAGGGCATTATTTTTGGTAAACTGAGCAACAGTACACAAGCACGCTTGCGCAGTGCTCGCTTCAGTGACTCAATGCCTCTACCAGTCCCAATACCTCTTCACATCCAGATAGGCGACACGCCGGTGGTTCCATGCCATAACAATTATACCTTAGAACAAACCAGGTAGCTGTATTGAGTTGAACTGAGAAGGGCTCTCCGCAATTCTTACAATTCACAAGGCGGCTGGCTTTGGAGTCATCGAAACTACAGCAAAATCGAGACCCTGTAGTTAAAGGGAGAGGAGGGACCCAGTTTTTCATTTGAATAAAAATATCTTACATTTTAGTAAGACTGCATCTTGGGTGAGCAAGGCTGGCAAGCCAATATGTGAAAGCTCGTTGCGGCAGCGGCGCATGCATGCTGCAACAGATAATGCCTGGCCCTCTGCTGAGTGTGAACACAATAGCGAATATTCTGCTTTTAGTTGAATTCTCGAAAGCCATAGTAACATCGACTGCTTCCCTGTTCATGAGTCCTTAGTGCTAAAGTGTATGCATGAACACCAGAGGGGCGTTCAACACTTCACTATAGCTTCCACCCAACACAAAGCATTCCCTCTGAAGAGGGAAGTACAGGAGTTGAAAAAGCTTTGGGTAGGGCAGACAGAAAATTTCATTTTGGACGTGGCAAGGGGCAATGCAACCCTTTCGTCTGCCTAAGTTATTCCCACAGTCAACTGCCAGCCGTGCCAGGGAACGAGATGAAAGATTTTGAGCAACTATGCAACTACGCGGGCGATGCTACTTAATCAGAAAAGGTTGATGCGCTCAAATAGAGAGCTGAATGTATCAAAGAGTCCTGCTATGTGCCCTCTAAACGAATGCCATGCAGTATTTTATTATCGCCATGACACTGAGGTGACTGGGGAGGCAGCAACAGCTATCCGCGGAAGAGGTGAGTGGCATCCCATTCCATGTTTTGGAAGCAGCTAGAAACCATGCTGAAAAGAATGTGGCTGCCCAGCTCTTGGACATCATGACGTGGCACGTGCTGCAGCGAGGGATTCCCTGGGCCAAGGAGCCTTGGAGAATACTTCACCGTTTATAGATTCGAATGAAGTAATATTAGTGGTGAGCCCCACCCCAAACAAGTATCTAAATAGATTTAGAAGACACGGATGTCTGTGACAGAGACCTATTCGGCCTACTCTCCGCCTGAGCAAAACACTGCAGCGTAGGGGCCTAAATACTGTCACTGTGACACCGCAACTGGCAGCTCAAACAGGTGAATGCGCATTTGAATTGTCTTATTGTCAGACTAGTTCATCTAAAATAAGGGCTGTCGGAACACACCCTCCCCCCGTTCAAGCTTCTGGGGAGCAAGTCATAGATGAGGGCAGTGCGCATCTCAATCTAGAAGAAAAGCCCGAAATGAAGCAAACGCCAAAAGTGTTGACAGTGTTGTTTCACGTTGCAACGGTGGCAATACTGACTCTTTTTCGGATCCCCTACACTAATTTAGAGATGGAACATATTCCTCCTCTTAAGCAAGAGATTCTGGAGGAAACTAAAGATCATACGGTTTACTGCGACAGTGACAATATGAGAGAGGACGATGCTGGCGCCCAAAAATGCGTCGCCTGCCCCCAAAATGCGAGCTGTGCAGGAGGCACGATGGCATGTATCCCTGGGTACATTTCTCAAGAGAGGAAAGAGGGACAGGCAGAAGCATCAAACACTTGTGTCGAAGACACTGAGAAAAAGGCTAAGGCAGCTGAACTTTTTAAATCACTTGTAGAAATATTGAAGGAGCGTCAGGGTACGTACGACTGCGGATACCCGGTGGACCCTCTATTTATTCCCACAGACCAGCTACGAGGGAAGCCCTGGAACAGTGCAATTACAAAAATGTGCAGCGGCCCCGGGCTAACCCGCTGGCAAATGAACTTTCACCGGCAGATTGCACCGGCTATTGCTGACGAAGGGGTGTACTTCTGGTTATTCTCCCACTTCTTAATCCCAGAAGCGGCTGCCGAATTTGACATCCAGGTCAGCAAGTCAAACTAATTCAGTATAGCGGGTACGTCAACGAGTTCTTCTGCCTGTGCATTTGAAGGAATGTATCCTCCAGCATCACCTTTCGCCTGCGAAGTTCCTTTACAGAGTGCAGGGAAATGGATTTTGGAACATTTTCAGAGGCTTCTTCCAAAGCTATGCTGCCTGCAACTCGTGTAATTTTAGGTGGAGAGACAGTACCTGTTCATACCACTTTCCAATCCTGTGGATTTTCCCGAACTTCATGAACGTCTTATGCGGGAGCAAGGCAGAGCTAAAGGAATCACTTTCACCTACACGTACACGGGACCAGATGCTGTGAAGCCCATAAACTGTAAAATCAGTCAGATGGCTCATGAACATTTATTTGCTTTCTTTGGTTTACTATTGTTCGTAGTACTATGCAGCCAGGTTGCTCAGCACTTTTACTCACGGTACTATATCAGAAAGGAAGTGCTCAAACTCATTCGAATGCATTCGCAATATGGAGGTGTTACCTCGCTGACCCGTGGCATTCCGACGAATATAATTTTTAACTTATTGTGCGAACGACTTGCAAGAGGGGGCAGTTTTTCGCGGTTCTTCTTTCGGAATAGGCTTACAGTCGAACGGGTTGACGAAGCATGCCACGACCTTCTTTGGGATCCGGAGGCAGGGGTGCACGCTTACAGGCTAAACGAAGCAAACCATTGGTGGGCTGAGGGAGATTTGCCTCCCTCTGGCAACGGGCAAGAGGAACGCCCAGATGTCAGCCCCCTATGCTCGAACTATACTGGTCCGACAGTCGGACCAACTGGAAATCCTGAGAAGCGCACTTCTACCACCAACAACTTTGCTTCCTCCCCTCATAAACACTCGGACAATGGCGTTCCACAGATGCATGAAGGAGGAATATGCCCTGTTCAATGTTGGCATCATGAATATTCTACTTTGCCCGGCTGCTTACGGGCCAGTAGCACTCCATATGCCGCTTCTGATTCTATTATATTTTCTACTACTGGGCAGGTGTGTGAGCAAACTGCAAAGTTGCTCCTTCCCCTTCTTGGTTTTTCCAACAATATTTGTCACAACTGAACTGTGGATAATGTGCTGCCTTTGCACCCCTTCCACCTTGCTGAGTGTGCGGAGCAGGCGGTTTCCAACGAGCATGGCAATGCCACAGCAGGCCATATAAAAGCCGCCCGTGGGCTCGATGATTACTCGGGACTAATGCGAGAATTTCGGGAGCTTCAGCGTGCTAGCCACACTCTCTCTGGGGAGCTGGCAAGGGAAAGACACCTTCGAAGCCCTTATCGCTAGTGCGGGGGGTGCTATTCATTTTTGACTCCAGAGAATTTGCCCTGTACTCAGGTGAATGTCCTTGTATATGCTTTGAGCCTGAGACTGCTTGCTTGTTGCTCAAGGATCAAGCATTTCTTACAAAATCGCTATATCGAAACAGCAGATGCTCCAACTGAGTAAACGACAATCGTCGAACAAAAAGCAGAACCGCGCTCGATTCTATTCCGGCAAGAATTTGCTGTAGTGCATGATTTTGCAGTCTTACGAAAACCTCCTCCTATCGCTGTATACTGTCGTTCACTGGCATTCCGCTTCCGTAGGTTGTTAGGAAATGTGTCCGACCCCGGAGCAAGCATGCACTTCAGTACCCGCAGATAGGGCGGGACATGCTGCGGCTATGTGGATAGCGACACGTCTGAGCAAAAACGGCAGTCATGGCTTTTGCTGCCAGGAAGTTATGCTTTTGTTAGCACAGAAATTTCACTGGGTGGGAATGAAACAAAACTTAGTTTTTGGTTTGCTCACAGCCTGCATAGGGTAAAAAACTGCGATTCAGTATATTCTGCGTCGGAGTATCAGAACAATTTCCCCCTCAAGGCCATCATTTAGGACCAAAATAAATTATTTGCACATGGAAATTTGGAACGGTACCCGGCAACGGAAGTGAAAATGTTGGTCGGCCTACGAGCTGCACTGAAGCTACAGAGGCAGCTCACTCATGCAGAAGTGTAAAAGGTCGTGCGGCAAAATGCCAGTCCTGCATCAAATTTGTTGTTCAAAACAGAATAGTCACAGGGGGGGCCGCAACTGTATGTTTTAGAGTGCTGTTTCCCATTGACATCCAGCTGGAACATGTTCCAGGAGGAAGCGACGAAGCCACTGCAGACCCTGGACACTAACGAGCCTCACGTGCTGTAACCAGTGTATGTGGCTATTTTAAAGCATGTTGAGATCCACTTGTTGCAGCCAACGCACGAGTAATATACAGAAGCAACCGAACTTTTGGGGCCTAGGCCAAGCCAGTCTAGAGACCGCCCAAACGGTGGGTTTGATATAAGAGCGCTATCTAACTGCGGAGAAACAAGAATCAAAGGTCAGTAGACACAGTCATGCCATTCGAATATCAATGCTACTGCTAGACTAATATGTGTGTGAGAAATGCTCATCAATTTAGCAACTCAGAGGCAGTGTATCCCTAGTTATCTGAGCCCTCAAGGATTGGGACTCCCCCCAGCTGGCGGCAATGAAGACAGTAGCCAGTGGGACTCTAAAGTGGCAACGTGTTTTACCCCTCAGCGCGGGCAGCCAACGATCGTACGGTATCAAAACGAATACCGCCGATGAATTCAGGTGTTCCGTTCCCCTTTACACGACGGTGTATCAATAACTATACTATGGTTGGAATTATGCGTGAAATTGCTGGCGCTAACTAGAGCTGTTGAAGAATGACCCCCAGATATTTCTGGCCTGCCTTCACTTTGATATAGGGTTCGCTCGCCGGGCCTGCAATGGGGGCTTAGCGAGGCGCCCCACAAGCACCTGCAAGGGAAAACTAACAAAAAGCGCTAGTGGCTTCAGGGAGTATTTGAATCTGCAAAATACCTTCATATTGCATTTTATTATACGGTAAAGGGGGTACTGAATGACGAATCAGAAGCAATACCCCTTTTCTCTCACAGGTCCTTGGACAGTTGCAGACCTTTTCTACGCATCGTTTGATGGGGCTCGGGAGCCACTTGAACTCACCATTTGTAATTAAGCGGTGATTCTGCCGTCGTGGGATGCATATGCCTTCAATGCGAACTCCCAGAAACGCACTTTTACATTCACTGTCAGCGATCAACCGCCTTTTCGACTTCATACGTTAAGACCGTTCATTTCGGCCGTGCGAGTAACGATGGATGCTCACTGGAGTATACTCCAACAATAGATCAATTTCTTAACACTGGACGAGCAGTAGACTGCCGTCCAGAAATTGATGGCAAAATTCAGAGAAACGCTGTTACTGACAATTTTTGTTGAGACCAAGGACAGGCCCCCGTTTTCAATTTGGTCCCTCTTTAGGGTTTGACTTGCCTAGCAAAATATGCCGCATTCACGTACAAGCTTGTAGAATCGCTATTGCGTTAATACGAGCTGAACAGGGCTCTTTCCCGTGAAAAGAGGAAAGGCGGTGCGCGTTGGCTGCTTTTGAAGGCCTATGCACGGCTCATAGAAGGACTCTGAAGCAAGCAAATGATAGCAAGTGCTAGTTGATAGCCCTCTGCACTTGGAATAAGACAAATGATAACAAATGTTAGTTGGTAGTCCTCTGCACTTGGAAAAAAGCACAAGGGACGTCCAGATGCTAAGGAATCGCTGCACAGCAAGCACGGTATGACCGTGCGCTTTGCGCGCAAGATCAGCAGACGGAAGGCCATCTCTCAAACGCTTACCGAGCGACTCACAAATAGCATGCGAGTATGCATCCTATTAAACGTACAGTGGAAACATTGTTCCTCCAAAAGAACGTTGCTTCCCCTCATCGTGGTAGGAAATAAATATATATGAAAACATTAGAGATAATACTTGTTTTCAACAACGCTCCGTTGAGGAAAATGTTTGCGTGGGTCAAATCATTGGATCATATGGCGAAAACATTGACTGGCAATATCGGCACAAACGCGGTGATGTCGTTTGCTGTACAGTGTTGCTGATGCTGCTGATGCTGCTGTTTCAGCTAGATCGTGTGCAGTATCCTAGCTTAGTCTTGCTGTTTTGGAAAAACGTTTAGGCACCTGTAGTTCAGGCAGCGGTCTGCTTCACTTCTCTATGAGCTCACGAAACCCTCCCCAATCTTCCGGGGCGACGTAGTTCTTGGTGCTCATGAAGTGAAGCAGCACCGTGGAAGGGCCATCCTCCACGCCAAGCATGTACTGTGTGCGAACAAATATTTCCCGAGCGGTATACCACTCGCCCGCTTCGTAATGCCTGAATCCTGAGCGAAACGTCCCGAGAAATTCTTTGGTCAAATGTTCGCGCATAGACACGATATCAGGATCAGTTTCAAACATTGCAGAAATCGAAGTTCGACTGGACCATAGCTTGTGCTTTTCTCGGAGACGTTGCTGTCTTTGAAGACTGGACGTGTTTTTAGAGGCAACTGTAACAGGAGTCCGTGTTGGAACTTGCAGTCTGCCAGGATCTAAGTCAACCGTATAGAGGCCCAAAGGCACCTTTGAGCCCTTTACCGTCGCACGGTCAATTTGACGGCAGTATGTCTGTGTCTGCGGAGACATGATATCGTACAGGTCGGACGATATGAGGATAGTCACTCCATACTGCTTCGTTGCTGCTTCTAGCCGGGAAGCCATGTTCACATTCGGCGACAAATATGAAGCGTCAATTTTGTATTCCGATCCGATGGCGCCTTCAATTGCCCATCCTACGTGTAGGCCGAAGCCCATCTTTACTTTCCAACCAGTTCCCATGCGCTCAATGATCTCAGGTATTTCCCTATATTCAGCCAAAGTGTGTGACTTGTTTATTCCAGCTACGACTTTGACAAAAGACATCACTGCCATGTCTGCCAGTTTGTTGCTCGTGACAGTGTCAATAATCTGCTCTTTTACGCCATCGGCAACCTCCCTCTCAGGAAACTTCCATACGAGAAGAAACGCGTCTCCTATATTTTTGTTTGCGCTTCCCGAGAACTGGTCCACAGTGCCGTGGACAATTTCCGCAATCTGATTCACAAATACCATAACCTTTTCCTTTAGTATTTCCGTTGCATCTGTAAAATTTCGGATGTCGCAAAAACCAAAAATAGCTTCCATCTTGCGTCCTTCTATCATTGCGTTTATGTTTCCATCTGCAGTGTGCATATTCTTAGCAATGATTTCAGCTCCCGCCTCTCCAAAACCAAGGGCCAGAAGGCCCCCGATCTTTATTATAGTTTTTTCTAAAATGGCAGTCTCGTAGTTCTCCTTCTGCGTCTTAGAGCTTTTACCGCCTATCCAGGTTTTCAATGCCTGCAAGGGATCTCCTTTTCCGCTGTCGGCGCTATCGTCGCCTGGACGGTCCTCTCCATCTGCGTTCATGTTAGTAGCAGCAAGAGGATTGTTTCTAATTTTGTTCATCTTTGTAATCATCCGTTCGATGGGTCTCAAAATGAGTGTATTGATGTCATGATTAATTGCGACGGTGCCAATAACCATAATTAGGCACACGAACACTGTTTTTAGCATACTCAAGGCACACTCCAAGTGCGAGAGCTCGCGCTTGTCATACACTGCTTTGAAAGTCGCAATGTTCTGAGCCACGCATGATGATGCTTTCTGGGTTTCCAGCGGCCCTGCCACTTCCTCTGAAGGCCCTTCACAAAACGCAGAAGAAAATATTTCCCTTTCACTCGGTCGTAATGAATCTATTGATTCCAGTTCGTCGGTGAGCATTGTACCATTTACGGCACCTTCAAGGAGAAGCTCTTCTGCGTTTTGCGGCGGCAGTTCCAGTGGATGGTCGCAACTCTTGAAGCCAAGACATGCCATATCTACAAATACTCGCCCAGCTGACTCAGTGACGTGAGTTAGAGGAAGTGGAAGCTCGATGTACACCAAATTCTGAGGATTGATTTCACCCTCGACGTAAGCGATGCCGTGCTTGCGGTGGTAGTTGATGTAGTAAACAGTGTTCATAGAATACATTCGCCACCAAGGGGCTGTGTTGTATCGTTTAGCCGCTGTAGCGGACTCTGCAACGCTGTCCAGCCCTGACTGTTCAGAGCTCGTCCTTGAAAGGTACTGGTCTTCAGCCAGAAAGGGTAGCACTATGGTCATAACGAGGATTATGTAAATCACCTTTCTGGTAGTCCTATCTGTGAGTTCCCTCCCGATTTTGCTGTCATTCTCATCTCCATCATCAACTATTTCTGCCTCCTCTTCCAACCCAACGTCATCAGGCGCACGCTCGCCAGGCTCTAGAAACAGGTCTTGTTGATATGTTACTTCGTCCTTAGGCTGAAATCGCAGTGCCAATGTTTTGTATAGCTTTGCAACTCGGATGAGTCGGACCAAGCGCATTACCCTTAGCACTCTAGCTACTTGGGAGCCGGCCTTTCCTGCTCGAGATACTTGCATAACATCACTAGATGCCATCTCCGCATTTTCTTCGACGACCAAGTACATCTCGTAGTAAATCCACGACAGGTCTAGAATTAAGGTTCCGGTAGAAATTAAATCGAACCAAAAAAATGTATGCCATGTGTAATTCTCCTTGCCAACGCAGCTAACAAATATTTCTAGAGCAAATATCACTAGGCAAATGATAGTAAGTATGTCAAAGGGCAAATCAGCAGACACCGATGTGGCCCAGAGCTTTAGATCATTTCCAAACAGGGCAAAAACTGTTGCAAGTGTTGTTACTATTTCGGTAACCTGGTGTAGAGCAATGAATGTGCAAAACGAAACAAATTTGGAATCACTCTGCCCGCCCTTCTTTGTGGAGGCCACCGAACTATGCCGCTGTTGACGGTCCATTTGCGTAGTTGTCTGGAAATGATAAAAAACCCTCTATTACTGGTGTACTGTCCTACAGCCGTTGCCTTGAGGGTGCCAGAACCTTCAAAGTATTGCAGCTTGTATTCAGCCTACGGCATGGAACTTGCGCGATTCATCCTACTGCACGGCGCAGAAATGCGCCGGCGAAGTAGTGCAACAAATCCGCACCTCCGGAATATCCTGCTCTGAGTAACAGAAAACGGATAAAGTTGCCTATTCGGTGGTAGCCTGGTTTCTTCTTGCTCACATGATGCTCTCTCCGATCATCCGTTTAACTCTGTGGATTGCAGTTGGCATCGCCATAGAAGTCATGTAACGTGTCAACGGGTAGAATGCTTTACTGTCGTTAGAGGCGTTTCCTTTGGAATGTGACTGAATGAAGATATTTAAGTTGTTACCGATTTTGGAACCCTGTTGGTGCCTCCTCAACTCATGCGCTCATAAGCCGACAAGGGAGCATTTATAAGGACTTATTACGGGCTGCTTGGGCCTCGTTGCTGTATCTCCATCTACGCTCCCTTTCATGGGCAGTTGTTGCATGGGAGCAGAAGCTTCGGGTGGAGAAGTAGCCCAAAGCTTTCAACTCGTGATTGGAGAGGAGACACTGGCTTCAATCAGTTCCATGCAGACTAGAGCCACTGGTAAGACGTTGTCATGCTTACAATGTGAACAGACGCCATCTTTATTTCCTGGCAAAGTTGCAGAGAGCGACGTAACTCCAGCCGCCGCGTGGCGTACCGTCACTTAGTCAGGGAGGGCGCGTGCCTCAAAGCGTGCTGGCCGGTCCCAGTAACAGTTCCATGGAGTTATTGTTGTTTCGTTCACGAATGACGCCGTTCTCCTTTTTCACTGTTGCTCATGGGATAAACAGCGAAATGAGCCAGTTTCATCAGGCTCTGGCACGGATGCGATGCGTGTTTTTGGTGGAGTCTAAGCTCTGCGTATACAGTGCTTCTAACTTGCTACATATAGGGCTAACAGAGCATATAAATAATACCCCTACGCTGGTTGTCAATCACCTGCTGACGGTGATATGGAGCTGAAGCTGAACTTCGCCTGGTTCGTCTCGGGCTTTGGGGCTTGTGAGGCATCCGGCTATTGGGGCTCATGGATGGTTCTTCTGAAAGCAAATATACAACTTCAGTTTGAATCAAGAATGCAACGAACGCCATTGTTGGGTTCAGAGCAGTCGATTTGGGGGACACTATTTCCTTCCCACTTACTAGGGCCCTGTGCCCGGATGACCGGATGACTACCGCCAACGAGTCTCGAGAGCCGCATGCAGATATCCTACAAAATGAGATCGCACTTATTAAGAAAAGGTCGAACCAGGGTGCGCTCATTATGTTTTACATCAAATTATGCACAATGAACTCTTCCTGAAACGGTGTCAATTGGGGGGAGCTGCAGCGCGCAAACCAGCGCCTGGGAGTCCGATAACCTGAAAAACCGCTTTCCACTGACAGAGGGCCGAGTTCTGACGTTGAAAATTTGATTGCTGGGTTTTGGAGTTGGGTGGTGCCGCCTCGAGCCAAAAGGTTCAAAAGGGGATGCGATGGAGCTCCAACTCCTACAGCACTCCCAGAAGTTGGGCCAACCGTCTTCACGCGTCTGAATATTCGCGTAGAGCTACTACCGAGTGTGTTAGTCTTGGTGGCTTATTACTTCATTAGTATATCATGCAACATAAGATGTGGGAGCACGAGAGCGGCCGCCTCTTCTCGCTCGCCTGGTGCCATTATCTGCCATGTGAACATCCCATATACAATGGCTTTGGTGGATACAGTCAGTGCTAATTTCGCGTTGTATAGACCACGCTGTACGTTCATTTTGTCCCGGATCGTGTGTAAGCACTCGTGCGTTTTCCTTTGCAAGACGCCCAAGGGACCCATATACTAATGCTTGCACTGACACTTTATACATACTTTTTTCATACTAGACGTCTGTCCCCCAGAAGAAGGCGTCAGTGCATTCGTTGTACTCTTCGCAAGCGGGAGCTGCTCATGCAACGCTCATTTGATTGCGTAACCTCGTGCTAGCGAGGTCGATGTGTACAAAATGCACAACGATAAATAATTCAGTTCCATTTCGTGCTTATCCGTAGTTCCGACAGCTTAGAACAATGGACGCTAACCGCGAAACCCCCTACCCGCGGTATTCAGGAGTCCGTACTGCGAGAAACACCTCATCACCGAGATTCATGTTGGTGATACAGACGGGAGCAGTTCTCCTCACCATAGCTGTGCCTTCCATGTACCAAAATTTCACATCTTCTTCAAAATGTGCTGTAAGAAAAGTTTGACTAGAGCATAAGGAGTTGCATGTGAGTCATCTCTGAAAAGCGTTTCCCAATCACTTGCTTACGGTCCAAGCGCAGCTCGTTAATGCACTCCAGATCCTATGTGCTGATTCCGACGTTTCTACGAACTTTCGAATGCCAACAGCTTTAGTGTGCATGCATTTGTAGAGGGAACCTCTTGCCTACATAAAAATCTTGCTCAGGGATGTGCTGGTTAGGACAGCCATGAAGTCTGTCAACACAGCTTGCTTTGCGTTCCTATAAGAGGCCTGCGGTAGGTTGACGAGTTACCATGGCTGGAAAAATTGTGGCTGCTCCAAGTCCGTCGTTGCCTTCTATATGGCAGGAGTGCGTCTCCTTTATGATGAGTGAGATTGCCTTCAGGAGTAGCTACTTAGAAACAAACTACGCAGATGTGTTGGTAGGTCCTAACCGAAGATGCCTGGCAATGCTGAGTCCTTATTAGGTCCTAGCTTCCTTACTTTTAGATAAGGACTGATTTATCCGTCTGCTTAAGTTGCAGAATCAAAGCACAAGATCAGCTCGCCGTCAGTCTCCATATGTTCTCTTCTGGCAACCGCTCACACGTGGTGTTAATAATTCGGGCAGTCGACAGTCAGCCAAGAGTTGCCTTTTCCTGTTTTCTTGTTTTAGGGACTCAGCTAACACGATTTGTATAACTGCCTTGGTTTCATAACGCATAAGTCATAAAATGGGCAAAAATGTAAATAAAGAGCAGCGCAGATGAATCTGCCAGAGCGAAGCTTCCAGCCTTGATGCTAACCTCCATTACTTCGTGTTCGTACGGTGCTCCTTGACTGTAGGTGCCACGCACACCACAGGTAAGCGATGCTACGAGCAGGCACGTTCCATTGGAGAGTGGAACCGGCCTTTTCAAAGCCACGCTAGCATTAATTCTCGGATTGCCGTGCCTGCGTTCCTCCGTTTTGGGAATTGAAGCTCACGCACATGCACCACCTCACTCGTAAAAGTTGCATTGCATCCAAACACCATAGTTGATGATTGAACTTCGCCTTCTCTTAGCAACTGGTTTGAGTGTCATCCGGTTTCATCTTCAAGGTATGGAGCTTGCCTGCACCTTGGAACAAAGCTTGAAGCTGTCTCAGGTGTGAATTCAACAACGTGCGTTGGGCATCACACTAGCAGCTCTTTGTTATTTAATACACCTGAGAAGACTTGCTCGAATCCCAACAAACCGCGGTCTTCGTAAATTCATCAAATCAATCGAAACAGCGGCCTTCAAAAGACGATCAGGACGATGTGCATTAATTCACACTGAGCAGAAGACACATTGCTCTTGTCACCCTGAGACACTGCTTCCTCTCCTCCGACCGTGGAGGACGCAGATGACCTTGGGGGGCCGATAGATGCCTTCACTCATCGTTTCCTGGAACGTACATCTCGACAGCATCGTCAGGGGGTTGCATATCCATAGATGGACGTTCTTTGCCGGGCCGCAAAAGGCATATCGCGAATTTCGATGTGGTGCGCCGGTACAGGGTAGAAGTTCTGTATCCAGGTAATATGACCCTCTTCTGAACTAAGCCCATAATCGTGCCAGTATACGTCTTGTATTGGCTATCCTCGACGACTAACCACAGAGGCCGGGCTGATCTCTGAAGCAATGGAGGGGACGTATATTCCTCGAGTCCCAATGATGGGACTCGAGGAATATACGTCCCCTCCATTGCTTCAGAGATCAGATTCACTTCTCAAACCTAACAGCTCCCGAGAATGCAGACTAATTCTGATAGTCATGAAGGTAGCTAGAGGCGGATCTACGAGTGTAGCTCTCGCCGACCCAATCACTGCGTCTCGAGTTGCTTGGGAACCCCGGCGTTTCCCTGATGACTCTGTTGGTTGACCTGGCGGCTCTGCTGCAACTCTCCCAGCTGCTTAGCTCCTTTCTTATGTTTGTTATCACGGACAATGTAACCTTGTTTATTGCAAGCGCGTCATATGCGCCCTGCCATGCGCCCTCCGTGAATTCTGCTTGACGAGTTCTTCGTCTGCTGCCGTTTCCTGTTTTCTCGTTTTCTGGGTGGGGCTGGCTGGCACTAACGGCCTCATCAGGGGCACAGACCCAAATAATTTCCTAGCCCGCTCCCTTATTTTTCAGCTGCGGAAGTAAAAGCCCCCTTTTCCCTTTTTTTCATGCTTAAGTACTTCATGATATTTGCGGGGTCAGCAGTCCACCTCTCATTTCCGTCTCCGCTGCCGATCCGGTTGCCGATTGACTCTTCCTGATGGGGAAAGTCCAGTTATGAACCATTGATAGAGAATGGCATCGAAGATGTATTGTATCTATCTATGTATCTCTCCCTCTCTCTCTCTCTCTCTCTCTCTCTCTATATATATATTATATATA